AATGTGCTCACTACTACTACTACTACTACTACTACTACTACTACTACTACTACCACTACTACTACTACTACAACTACTACTACTACTATTACTACTACGGCTACAACTGGGACTATTTCTACTCTAATTATGGATAAGCAGGCCGTTGAATAGACCGAATTAAAGCCTCGAGAGGTGGAGCGTTTCCGAAGTGGACAGAGATAGAGCAGAAACTTGGAGGGGGAGAGCGAATATCTCCTCGGTTAAGTATTGTATATAGGCATGTGCAGGTATGTGTTTGTGTATAGTTCGTGAACGAGAGGGGGGTTTGTTGGGTGAGAGTTACGAGCCCAGTAAAACGGCAGCCAGGATAGGCGAGGCGGTGTATTGGTTGAGTGAGTGTGAGTTAGCTATGGCTTCGGTCTTCCGGACGGGAAGTAGCTGGGGTGAACAGATGCGGGGTGGGGCAGTTGTGCTGGTTGAGCAGAAGAGTAGTGCTAAAAAGACACTCATCCCCGGTTGTGCGAGGATAGAGGTGATCATGGTGTTGGTGGTGTTGGTGTTGTTGGTGGTGACGATGGTGGTGGTGAGGATGATAGTAGAGATGATGGAAAGATTGTCTGAATTGTCCAATTCCCGAATGAATGTACGTAGATATAATAATAAGCGAAGCAGAATAATTATCGTGGACATGAACGGAAGTAAAGAGTTAATTATGCACCAGAACGACATTCGCGAATATAATGAGTGAGGTATATATATACGCATGTTTTATCTCGGTGTGGTTCTGTGTGTGTGTGTGTGTGTGAGTGTACCTCTGTGTGTATTGTGGATGAATGAGCTGAAAGCAAGGAGGTTTTGTACATGCATGCGTGCATCTTGTCTCATGTGCGTGCTTGCACGCGGGTGGGCTGGTCGGTACGGATGGGCGTTCTCAAGCTATAAAGGAAATTCAAAAGAGATTATTGTCTTACTCTGCTCTTAATCATCATCCATCAAAAACTCACTTCCCGTTCTGACAAACGAACAAGAATAGATCCAAATGCGACCGGTGTGGAACACAATTCGAACTGCATGAAAATAAGATGCCTCGTGCTGGATTACCAAACAGACTCAAGCCAGGGAGAGAGCGAGAGAGAGGCGATGCTCACATGGACTCGATTCTGGTGCACATATGAGTGTCAGCCAATTAAGTGTTCATTTGATGAATTCCACCATAGATTTGCTTCTCGCATTAATTCCCGAACAGAAAAATAAAACGGACAGAAATGGAGCGAATGTCACGTGTCTGAAAATTATATCCAGCTGGCTATTTAGAATGATAAAAAACAAGGTTTGACAGCGTAGCCACCATGTCCGAGAGATAAAATACCTGTGCGAAGAATATCTCATCAGTATTTGTGTACAGATGTACCGGAGTGGACAAAGACAGTGTGCTGCAGGGGGCACATCACCCAAGAATCCGTACAAACTTGAACGTCTATTATTTGTGCTTTGCGAAATTCCGTGTGCCGGACTGCATGGGACCAATGCACATTTGCATTCATTTGACTAATCATTTGACAATCAAGTTGTGTATTGGGTATCGATCAAACTGGGGACAATAGCCACTTTGTACACATACCCCCCACCACCACACGCACATAAGCATCAAACATCATACACACATTATGGTTGACATATCTTTGAGAACCATTGTTGTTTTCAATCATCCTACTGGCTCTGGCTTCCAGTAAATCATCCGGGGTTCAACCGTTCTGTTGCCTCAGGATATTTGTCACTGAAACGTCATCTGTGTCGGTCAGGCATTTGGCACAACATTGGTGGTTGAATGGCGTGAATGCGTGTCACCCCACAGGCACTGCTCGCGACAACTGAGTCACCGGATGAGTCAGGTGATGTTGGCGTGCACACACACACACACACACACACACACACACT